TTTGTCTTTGGACAGGAAGTGTCTGAGCCTGGTGAAGAGAAATGGGGAAGGTCTCCCCTTCAGGAACTATCTCAAAGTAGCTTGACTTCTTGGGAGACCTCAGTGTTCTCAAAGTACAAATTGATATATATTTTTCTGTGGCCCTGATTAAAAAGTTGGGATCAATGATATTTTGGAGAGTTGATGTGAAAATCTGATTGCCTGCTACTCTCATAGCATCTGAAGATTTGCCCTCATTGAAAATGACGGCAAATCCCCTGGTGTAGGTGGCATAGCACACGCTCCAGAGTTCTGACACATGTATACTTGATTGGCTTCAATCATTTATGTTACTGCCAAGTGTCAAAAGTTATTTTAGTTTTCCAACCCTGGATTGGAAACTACAAAGCACTTTAAGTGGAATTGGATCCCTGAAGGAGAGATGTTCTATAAGCCTCAGTTGAGGGAAAGACAGACATGCCACATTATCAACTTTAAAAATAGCTAACATTTATTAAGCACTTAGTGTGTATCAGGCCGTGCACTAAGCATTTACATAGATTATCCCCTTCAGTCCTCATGAACCCATTTTACAAATGAGCAAACCAAAGTGTAAAGTAGTTAAGTGCAGATTATCCTGTACTCAGGTTGCATTTTATTCAAAATATGCTCTGTCTGAGACCATTCTTAATTCGAAACAAATCCTTACAAAGGTTGGCTGGTATTTCTGCTTAGCAGCTAGAGGGGATCTAGCATTTGTCAGTAGATCAAAGTACCAGTGTAGAGGTCATTCAACCAGATAGTTTTGAAGTTGTGCTATTCTTGATAGATTTTAAAAAATAGATTTTCACTTATTGCAAATTTTGCATATAAAGCGAGATTTGATTAATATTTTTATTTGCTGAGTTAAAATTTGCATAAAATGCCACTTTATTATAACTTGTTCACGATCAAGTCATACTATCAAATCTGACTCCAAAGTCATGAACAATGTAAAATACATGTTGTGACTGTTACTAGAGAAGGGGTAAGTCTAAGCTTTCTTACCTATGCTAAGAAAAATCATCATCGTCGCTGAGTGGACAATGGAGGTTGCTGATGCCACTGTTTTGAGATGTTTTTTACACGCAATCAAGCTGTGGCTGATTGCGTTCAAGAGCTTTCTGTTTAGGCATTGGAAAGGAAATCCTAGACTTTTATTTTAAAACTTTACCTGTGGACTTGATAAGGCACGATTTTTATGAAGTCAGTTTACTGATAACTATAACAGAACCTCTGTTTTCTTTTCTACCTGTGGCATTTGGGGAGCAGATTTTTATACTGGGATTTGACTGTTATAGTTCTATATATCTGTGTACATCTTCAAAGAATACATACATATTTCCTGCCTGAACGTGGCTGCATAGATGTCTAGAGCACATACACTGGTCTAGAGCCATCCCAGGATCGCTGGGTTCACCCCTCTGCTCATTTCCTATTGCAAGAGAGCCACGGAGAGGCCTCTGGCAGTGAGGGATGTGTGTGGGGGGGTCACTACGGGGTCAGGGAATGGTGAAAATGCAGGGGATATTTGGATTTATCTGCATCTCCAAGAATAGAACTATAGAACTATACTGTATTTGCTATCGTAGATGACACTATTGTGTTTTTCGACTTCTATAAATTTCAGATACTAGTCAGGAAGTTTTAGTAAACCAACAGCCTATAATAAAAAAGACAGCCTCCTGATATGTGTCAGTGTTATTGCTTGGCGTGTTTGTTATATGATCATTAAAGTCCTCTGGCCCTGTTTCTCTAACAATAGAGCATTGAAGTGTTCTCCTCTGTGACACAGTCTAAATCCCTTCCCAGGCTTGATGAGGTTTAGATAGCAACTCAGTTGAACTGATCAGTTTCCGGAGCTTGTTACTGCCCCGTGCACAAATTGGCACAGAAGTGAATGGCTAGTTATTGAAGTGAGGCTTGCTTCTCAGTGCATCCTTGGCCTCTTGGTTTTAGACCCTGTGGAAGACCAGCAAATAGTTGGGAATGTGCCCAAGCCAAGACCCATCTCCTGTGGCACTCCTCCAGCAAACACACTGATAAAATTGGCCCAGCGTAGTTTCAACAGGCCCACTGAGGCTCGCAATAATTTCCTTCCATTGTTTCAGACGTGATGCACGCGGCTTCTGGAACTAGGAGAGAGGGCGAATATTCACTCTGGCAGGAAAAATTATCTCTGTTTCTCTCCCTTAAGCAATCAGGTACTTTGCTGACACTCAGGGGTTTTGTTCTAATAGTCAAGTCCTCTGGAATTGGCTCTTTCTCTATGTGTGTGTTTTATAGATGGAGCATTTAGTAGAGGATGTACTTTTGTGAGTTTGTATCTATATTTTGTTCAATATTTTAATCTGTGCTGAACTCTGAGGCAGAGGGACACTTCATAATGCCCTGAAGAACTCTGTTGTATTTTCTGAGGTTGATGCTTAGATCAAATTTTAGATGTTTTTGGACCTTTGGAGGCTGTGTAGGCCAAACCCCTCTTTGTAGGAAAGAAACTGATCCTGGGACCACGCAATTAGTTGCAGAGTGAACTAGATGGCAGGCATCCAGATCACTGACCTTTTCCTTAGAGTAGAGCTGTTTAAGAATATAAGATTATAGCATTGATGGAGGACTTTTTCTTTTCAGACACACAGTAGGGGTTGGGGGGGAGGGAGAGGCTGAGATGGTAGGAAATATAGCCTGTAATTGTTTGTGGCTTAAGTGACTTTCATTATTGGCTCAGTGGTGGCTCTTATAATCCTAATAGCTGCTTCCAGGGATGGGTAATTCCCTAGTCATTATAGGTGACTTCATTTATCTCTTTTTCTCCAGCTAGGCCCATCATTTCTGTCTGCCACCAATCACCTTTCCCTAAGCCATCCTTTGCTTGGTGGGACCATCATTTGTTAAATCTTTATTACGGTCACCTCAAAATTTCACTTTCTGAAAGATGTTCACGTTAACAGCCTAACTTCAGCTCTAAGGATGACATTGCAGTGACATTTTTGATGTTCAAAGGCAGGTTATGGGGATTGCTAGCTGCATGAGGATATAAAGTGTGAGAGAGATGATGATTTAAGCTTTAAAATCATTAAAGCCACGTTACCATTCAGCCGTATTGTTCTAGTATGCAGTGTGAGATGCCCAGTTCCATGTTTTCATGCTACCATTGGAAGTGACTTGGCAGCCACATTGAAGCTGCTTCATTGAACCACTAGCGCATGAGTTTGGGGCTCTACCCAGCTGGTCATTTTACCAGTGAAGCAACCCTGCCATTTATCAGGGAATGTATGGCCTGGATCCCTGCATGTACCCTGCATGTATGTTTGAAGATAGGTTTTTAAAATGAAAGAAATAGCTATTGATCTAAGTAGAATGTGAATTTACTCTTTAGAGAAAGTGTCATTCACTAATTCACTGATTTATTCATCAGATTTTAAATGGACACCTTCTATGTATCAGGCACTGTCCTAGGTGCTAAGAAAATATCTGAAAAGAACAGGGGAAAAAATCCTGTTCTCATCTTACATTGCCAGTTCCACTATCTTCCCTGCACATATTGTATCCCTATAGAAATATATATATATTTTGAGGTAGGGTCTCACACTGTCACCCAGACTGATGTGCTGTGGCTTGGTCATAGCTCACTGTAACTTTCAACTCCTGGTCTCAAGTGATCCTCCTGCCTCAGCCTCCCAAAATACTGAGATTACAGGCATGAGCCACCATACCTTGTTGTATAAAAGTATTTTTTAAAATATGGCAGTGTCCTGTGAAGAAGAGAACTGGCTTTTTGTACTTTGCCTTTTTTTCCTACTCTCTGTTATAATTTTTCAATGGAAAAATTAGAAGTTTGTTATTCTCTAATAGTAATTTTCAGTAGGATTTTTGTTATGGCTTTTGGCTTTTTTCCTTCACCTGGTTGATATAGGTAGGACTTAGATAAAGAAAGAGAACTTGAGATTATCACCTAATTTGATAATCATCAGGTAAGAAGAGGACAAGCATTAAGAAACCCCTGTTAAGGCCGGGCGTGGTGGCTCATGCCTGTAATCCTAGCACTCTGGGAGGCCAAGGTGGGCAGATTGCTTGAGCTCAGGAGTTTGAGACCAGCCTGAGCAAGAGCGAGACCCTGTCTCTACTAAAAATGGAAAGAAATTAGCCAAACAACTAAAAATAGAAAAAATTAGCAGGGCATGATGGCGTGTGCCTGTGGTCTCAGCTACTCGGGAGGCTGAGGCAGGAGGATCGCTTGAGCCCAGGAGTTTGAGGTTGCTGTGAGCTATGATGATACTCTAGCCAGGCAACAGAGTGAGACCCTGTCTTAAAAAAAAAAAGAAAAAAGAAAGAAACACATGTTAAGATATGCCTGCGGGTCTTTCCTTGAAAGAGATCTCCTGGTGTTGTCTGTGTTAACAGGTTAGGGTGCAGCTTCCTATTGGTCCTTTTCTCTTCCTTCTATCCTAAGCATTTTGTGGAATAAGCATGACCTTTTCCTCCTTTGTGATTGGTTCTGTCTCTTTGTAAATACAAGTATCTTTAGCCATTGTTCTCAAACAGCATATGTGATTCAGTGATTCAGGGGCTCTTACTAAACAGACACAGTCCCTAAGCTCCACACCTAGTGATTCTGATTTTAGGGGTCTGGGATGGTAACCCAGAAACTGGTTTTTCAAAAAGGAGTATTGAAGAAAGGCCGGGCCTGCTAATGATGACGTAGAGATGGGTTACTTTAAGGAAGACTGTCTAAAATGTTCTAGAACTATGGGAATATTGTTGAACTAGTTTCCACAGGGCTGAGCCATAAAGTATGACCTGGCTGTTAATCTTACACACTGAAGAGTCCAAATTTATGTACTATATATGTAATTAAGAAGCCAGTAGCCACCTATAAATGTCACATAGCACCCAAGGAGACTGTGTTATTTGTCTGTTCACCAATGGGAGGAGGAGATTGTCATAGCTTTGTTAACCAGCTTTCTCGGATTTCTCCGTAGGCAATGGTGGCTTGCTATCCAGGAAATGGAACAGGTTATGTTCGCCATGTGGACAACCCCAACGGTGATGGCCGCTGCATCACCTGCATCTACTATCTGAACAAGAATTGGGATGCCAAGGTACTTTGGAACAATGGGAGTAGAGTGAAGGTTCGAAACTATAGGAAAAGAATTCAGATAACTTAGAAGAGAGTTCTGAGTTCGTAATAGCCCCATCTCCCACTGATGAATCTCCTCTGTTTCATATTTTCCTCCTCCTCCCCTCTGTCAAATTAGCGCTAAAGTTGATGACATGAAAATAATGGATATGAAGTTAATTTGGGGGGGTAAGGTGATTATTAAGGTGTGGGAAGGGTGGTTGATGAAGGAAAGGTAATTCAATATTAGGATTAGGAATCAAATTTTTTCATCTAATTCAGAGCTGATGTGGCTCTCAACACAGAATAGGATTTACACTTTTCCCCTTCCAGTAGCAACACTGAGAAAATGTAACAAAAATAGAACTGTGGATATAAAATCATCCCCAAGACAGATTTCCCACACAATCTTCTCTCTTGGGGTGATATGTCTCATTGATGGCTGCTTGCCACGGTTTACTATGGTTTGTGAATGCCAAAGGCTTTGTGGCTGATTTTTTTATTATAGAACATATAGATAGAGATATGAAGTCTGGTTCCATGCTTACAAACATTTGTCTGGACTTTGTTTGCTTTCTGAAAGTTAAGAATGATTTAGGAGTCTGGGAAGTCACAGAACTTTTCAAGCTTATTTAGCTTTTGAACCTTCTGCATCTCCATTTCAAGTTCATTAGGGCCAACACTGGCTGTCATTAAGCAATAATATTTTATCTGGGGTCAGAAAAAAAGAAACCTAGGAAACCAGTGAATCAGGGAAAAAACTTGTCTCTTTTCCCTACTTGGTAGCATGACTTGGAATACATCCATGAGGTCTCCTTTAGATTCTTTCAAAGTGCTGTTATAAGCAAGAGAGTAAAGTTATCAGCTTGAAAATAATAAATTGCAAGGTATGAAATCATTCAACAAATATTTGAGTTCCTGCTGGTGTCAGGCATTGTGCTATGGGGAAACATGGATGTGTGAGGTCTAAATATGGTTATCTAGTAGGAAAGATTAGTTATACATGTAAAAAAATAATGCAAGGAAGAGAGTAATATACGTCCTAAGAGGTGCAGATAAGGTGGTCTGAGAGTTCAGAAAAAAGAGATATAATTTCCAACTAACGAGGTCAGATAGCAGCGAAGGGAGTTCTGAAGAAAGCTGTAAATTCTAATTGAAGCGAAAGTTATGTGTGATGATAATCTTAGGAAGTTGTTAATGTTAGACAGAACCATATAAAATTGCTGGGGTTTTTTTGTAGGTCAAAACCAGCCAAATACTGGCAATTCTGTATGATTCAGTCTAACGGTGCTCTATCTGTGTCCATGGGCTTCATGATTGTGGGGGCTGGGGATCTTTTTTGGTATGAGGTGAATAAGGAGATGTCTTTAGCCAAGTTTGAAATAAAATTTGGTACAAAGTATAAGATCAAAGTAAAAATTTGGGGGTAACATATGCTTGGAGTGGAGCTTAGAAGATGGCATTGTTTCTAGATGGGGCTGAAATATCACTGTGGTAAACTCTATGTGAGGCCAGGAAATAATCTATCCTTATTTGTGGCCCTCAGCTACATGGTGGGATCCTGAGGATATTTCCAGAAGGGAAATCATTCGTAGCAGACGTGGAGCCCATTTTTGACAGACTCCTGTTCTTCTGGTCAGATCGCAGGAACCCACATGAAGTCCAGCCTTCCTATGCGACCAGGTAACAGCCGGGGCTCATCGTACAAACCCCAGTTCCCAGAGAACTCTCTGAACTCGTGTCCTGTGCATATGGGGGACTGACTGCACCCCAAAGCTGAGAGCAAACCTGTTGGGAGTTGATAAAAATTAAAGGGGAAACTTTGGATTCTTTAGTATACAAAACCTAACTTCGGTTTGAAATGACTCTTAATAAATTGTTCTCTGTTAGGTGAGCATATTGGATTCCAAATGTTTCAGAGTGTTTTTCTCTTTTCTCCTTTCATTCCCCACCCTCTTAACTCCTCCTGCCTTTTTAAAAAATCTAATTTTGATCTACCCCTAGAGACTGTTGGCTATCACATATCAGGAATTTTGTCTGGTTACTTTGGATGAGTTTACAAGTTGCCAACTGCAAGCAGAGGAAGAACTTTGAAAAAAGAAAGAGTGATTTGTGTGGACTTTTCTTCCTTTTTTACCCTTTCGTTAGCCTGAAATTGACTTGGGCTCAGTGTATCTGGGTCCCAACAATCGCAAACAATCTTTTCTGTAGTGTGTGCATGTGAAGATTTTCAGAATAACCGAATAATTTGGTATTGTTTAGTGTCAACCTAGAATTTTTTTTTTTTTTTTTTTGGCAACAAAGTCTTGCTCTGTTGCCCAGGCTGGAGTACAGTGGTGCCCTCATGGTTCACTGCAACCTTGAACTTCCAGGCCCAAGCTATCCTCCTGCCTCAGCCCCCTGAATAGCTGGAACTACAGGCTCACTACTTTGGATGGGTAATTTTTTTCTACTTTTTATAGAGACGGGATCTTGCTATGTTGCCCAGGCTGGTCTTGAACTCCTGGCCTCAAGTGAGCCTTCTGCCTCGGCCTTCCAAAGGGCTGTGATTATAGCTGTGAGCCACTGTGCCCAGACAATCTAGAAATTCTTTTTTTTTTTTTGAGACAGAGTCTTACTCTGTTGCCTGGAGTAGAGTGCCGTGGCGTCAGCCTAGCTCACAGCAACCTCAAACTCCTGGGCTTGAGCACTCCTACTGCCTCAGCCTCCTGACTAGCTGGGACTACAGACATGCACCACCATGCCCGGCTAATTTTTTCTATATAGATTTTTAGTTGTCCAAATAATTTCTTTCTATTTTTTTTAGTAGAGATGAGGTCTCGCTCTTGCTCAGGCTGGTCCCGAACTCCTGACCTTGAGCGATCCACCTGCCTCGGCCTCCCAGAGTGCTAGGATTACAGGCGTGAGCCACCGCGCCCGGCCAATCTAGAAATTCTTGATAAAAATTTTAATTCCTGATTCTGCTTTGGATTTACCTTTGTCTATGGCCAAAGCTGCACAGTAGGCAGTATCAGTGTGCTGTGGGTGCAGCTTGTGTTGGGAATAGCACTGGCGGGCAGGAAGAGAGTTTTGGTAGGATGATGACTAAACCTTGACAAGTCTAATTAAATTAAAACCACATGTGTCCCCCTCCAGAAATCATAGATCTGAGCCACAAACAAAGTCATATATTAACTGCCAACTGGAATGTGTTCTAGATAAGTAGGTAAATAATTCTACCACCAAAGTCTGCTTGTGACTTTTTTCATGGGGTACAATAATTGGACCCTGTCATTTGTGACAGAATTCTCTGGTTATTCCCCAGTCCCTGGGTGGCTGACTTCACAGGGAAAACATTAGCAAATGTTGATGGGAAGCCCGTGAAAAAAATCAGTGTTATGGAAATTCCAGTATCTAATAATAATTATAAAATGAAACTTTAAAGAAATCCAAGCATTTTTTGTTCCCATTACAGTCTATCCCATGGACAGGATAAAGCAAATTAGTGGGAATGCAGTAAAAAGCCTGAGGGCATTATTATTCAATTACATCTTTGCCTCAATGTCCAAAACTAAAGAAAGCCAGCCAAGAGTTTTAAATCTACTGTGATTTAAATAACTTATTCTTAAAAGCTTCATGAAACTGTCACCTCTGCTTCTTTGTGCTCCCCTCACCAACTTGAATGCCCCAGAGTGACTTCCTTCTAGTCCTTTCTGTATAGGTCACCTTTACCTGTTGCATTATGTGTTTAATCACCTGTCTCCCCTGCTTGAGCCTGAGATCCTTGAGAAGGATGAAGATTTGTTCCTAGGATCATTTGAATTCCCAATACCCAGGGTAGTGTCTGGCACATACCTGGAACTTCTTATGTGTTTAATACAGTTAAACAAAATTAAAAGCAGAGAAATTAACTTTAAATGAAAATGGGGTAGACTTTTAATAAGAGGGAAAACTTTAAATGTTGGTCTTACAAATGACTTTAGTGTGAGATTTATAGGAAGTTTGGTTTTTTAGTAGTATTATTAAACCTCTTTTCTTATACCTGCTTATCTTTTACAGATATGCTATGACTGTTTGGTACTTTGATGCTGAAGAAAGGGCAGAAGCCAAAAAGAAATTCAGGAATTTAACTAGTATGTTTGATAATTTTCTGTGACTTTTAATCAAGTCAATCCTTGATTTTTATTCAATTTTACATATTTTCTAATATACTCTGTCCAGTCTTGGTTATGGCTTAGCTTTTCCTATATAATGATATCTTCATGGGTTTAATGCTGAAAGCTTGGCCTTATGTTTCTTAGAAAAATCAGAAAAAAATGCAAGGGGCAGCCCTGAAGAATGCCCACTGATTGTGTGTTGCTTTATGATAGATGGGAAATAATTAACTTTTTATCATTAATGTTAACCAGTCAAACGTAATAGTTTGCCCACGATTTTGGCACATTGCAAAGGAAATACAATGGAACCCAGTTCCAATGGCTAATTTATTATAACTTGGGTGAGACTGTGACTCTCAATATAAAAGCAGGGTTCATGTAATATAAACTGAATATGACTCAACACCATTCCTGTTCCTTCCAATTAGTATTATAAGGCAGCATTTCCCAGAATACATCACATTAAAATATTAATCCTGCCAAGTTGGTTATGAAAAGGTAAATTCCTTATCCCAAAAGTGTGGGAAATATCGCGTACTGTATCCCTGTCTTGAAGAGTCGCAGTGCTCATTGGCATATCAAATTAAGGTTCTAAGAGATCCTCTTGTTGCCTAACTCATAACCCATTTGGACTGTATACCTATCAAACACCAAAGAAAACACCTTTTGAAAAGCTCTACCAGGAGGCTTTACTTTGTTGTATAAGATGGGAAGTATTTACTAGAGATTTTTTTGTGACATTTGTGACTTAAAACTCATCAGATCTGACTCCCTACCCTCTTTCTTCTCTTTTCTGTCCCCACCCCAGGGAAAACTGAATCTGCCCTCACTGAAGATTGACCGTGCTCTGAAATTCGCTGGCCTTGTTCATTTTAGTAACAGTTCCTGAATTTGCTTTAACAGTTGAGATCCAAAGATGGCCTCTTCAGTGACGACAAACTCCCCCTACTGCTTGCATCGTTCACATCCCTGTCTTACGTGTGGTACTTCATGTTTTCTTGCCAAGACTGCTTTGACCTGCAGATGCTCTCTTTGCCAGATGAACTTATTTGCTCACTCCAGAAATTCCTGCAGACATCCTAGTTGGCCAGCACTTTAACTGATAGATTCGGTAATACTGGCTATCAAGACAAGAGCCTAGGAGCACAGGCGAGGGGACGAATCTTACTTGCACTTTATGTGTACTTCCTGATTTGAAAGGAGGAGGTTTGCAAAGAAAAGAGAAAATGGTGGCAGATTGAGAGGCATCGTGGAAGCCTTAACAACAGAAAACAGAAATTTATGTCATCAAAACAATTTCCAGATGTTCTTAATCCAGGGCTGTTGGGGTTTCTGGAGAATTATCACAACCTAATGACATTATTACCTCTAAAAAGGGCTGCTGTCATAGTGATCGATTTATAAGTATCTCGTGGGGCGGACACTCCTTTTTCCCAGTCCTGCAACCTGGATTTTCTGCCTCTGCCCCATTTTGCTGACAATAATGACTTTCTCAACAAAGATGACAACACCATTTATTCTCTATTTTCCTTTCTTACCTGGAGAACCTAATTCCCCAGAAGCTAAAGCTAGACATTAGTTGTTTCGGTGCTTTGTTGGAATGGAATTTGAATTTAAATCAAAGGAACAAAATCTACCTGGTAGTTTAGTGTCAGCCTCTGATAACAGTGTGGAAAGAGCTAGGTTTACTGATATACAATAAACGTGTGCATCTTACGCAATTTGAGAGAGGAGATGGAGTTGGAAATGTGGGTATTGCTGTTTTTTGGTTTTTTTTTTTTTAGTTTTCTTTTTTAATGAACCCACCCTTCTTCTTTAACAAAATAAAAAAGAATAGGGTGCTGTATTTTAAAAAGGAAATGGAAATTAAAAAATCTCAAAAAGCTGTTTCAGTTCTTCCACGTTGTCTGTCCCTAGCAGCCTTTCTCCAGCTGACTTGACTCTTCAGAGCCACTGTGGGTGGCAGTCTGACCAGAATCGTGGAATTGTAGAACTGTGGAAGGTCCTACTACCGCACTCTCCTGCTGCAGTACGCAGGGATTCCACTGCTTCAAGAACTCTGTATTAAAGCACCTATTTTATGAAAGTTACCCCCCCTAGTTTTCAGTTCTACTTTCGTGTTTTTAAATCCCTTTGATTTCTTGCTTGAAAATCCCAGAAACATTAAAGAGCCAGAAATACGTTCTTTTGTTATGTGTGGAGATATATAAAGAGAGAGAGACTTTCCAAGATAGAAGTTTAATTTTTTCTCTTCTGGTTTTGGAAAATTTCCAGATAAAAGTTGTCGTTCATTCTCACAACTGCTCTATTTTGTTGTATCATAGTACTTATCACCTTCTAACTTACTATGTAATTTACTTATTTATTATTATGTTTATTGTCTTGTATCCTTCCTCTAGAGTGTAAGCACAATGAAGACAGGGACTTTGTATGTTTTTAATCAATGCAATATATTCCCAGCGCCTAAAATAGTGCCTGGCACATAGTAAGGGCTCAGTAAATACTTTTTGAATAAACTCGATCTCCTATGTTAGCATTCTCATGGTTTGATTCATTTCCTCTGTGTTTGGCAGGAAAGGCTTGCTGTAATTTTTACACACATCTTTCTAACATTGTTGACTTATAAATTTAGGCTAAGAGTTTTAGAAAGCTTTGGTCATAGTGTCATTTTATCTTTGTTTACCTATGAATAGATCATTCACTGACCACTATGAATCTGAAATTTGAACAAACAATATTTCTGCCCTTCTGTATCCTGGGACCATAGCAGTAAAGTAAGAGTAACTTCAGATAGGACAGAGTACATTCCTCCTTTGGAACATTTTGAAAAACTTCAATAAGAGAGAAAGAAGGAAGATTGTTAGGAATTTTGGATTCTGTAAAATTGTAACTTTTTTCCATGATTACTAATGTCATGAGAATGATAGTGACAATATTCAGAAGGAATATTATAATATGTAGTTCCAATAGTATGTCTTATATCTTTCATTTTAGCCAATTTTTTGACTTGTCAAAATATCTGACCACTTAGGCCTTGCTTATTCCTCCCAAACAAAGGTCCTATAAACTAATAAACTATATAACAAATCAATTTTTTACACACACTGATTTTTCATGCCTGAATTTGAGTCCTGGAAGATTAAGCTGGAAAATACAACTTTAATACTCAGTGTCTGCTTTTTGCTCCTATCTCTGACAGCCATTTAGGGGAAAACTTAGCCCTACTGAAGAAGAAACATTTGGCAAATAATCTGATCAATTTCATTTATATTCCTGGCAATGAAATGTTAAGAGCCTATCTCACTGTTATGTCACCTATATAGTTCAGAGTCTTTGGTAGGAGATTAAATTTTGAACCAAAGATCCAATTTCATGGAAATAAAAAGTCCTACCTAAGTGCATTAAATAGATCTTTAGTAGAGTAGTTAATACCATTTAAATGCTGGACTGTTTGAATCATGAATTATCCATTCAAACATGATTTTGTTTTTCAGGGTTTTTAGAGGCTAGGTTATCCTAATTCTTTTAGCCATTCAGTCTTGACATTTCCTGTGTTTTAGATAGCAGTGATGGGAAGTGCCATGTTAGGTCAGCAGTTTGTGTAAGCCAGGAGTTTGGACCTGTCAGGTACTTTTATATTTGATCAGCTAGGAGAATAAGCACAAGGGATATTCTTAGTAAAGTTATTTTCATTAAAAATAATATAAAATTGACTTAGCTTCAGTCTTGAATCTTTTGAATGAAATGAGAAGAATACTGGTTAGTGAGGTGGTTAAAGATTATTGTCAGAACAGAGTGGAAAAATAAACAGTTCTTTTCAAATGAAGCTGTCTATAGTTGAACTCTTTTGGATAATATAGGCAGGTTTATATTAAAGACCTAGTCTACTTTCAGACCCAGTCTACCACCATCTAAACGTGGTTTTTAATATGCTGCTCTCGCTGTTGCTGCGTTGATAGGTTAGGTCCTTTGTGAGGCTGGATTTACCATGGTTTATCTCTACATTTGCAAGGCCAGGGTCAGAGGTTAAAGAGTCATGATGTAAAGAAGCTGAGAACAATGAGTAAGATGACTGTACGTACTCAGAGAATACCTATATTCCAGCCCCTGTGCTACGTGCTCCGACATGTTTATTCTTTGCAACCACTGTGAGACATCTCTTCCTCTCTCACAGCTGAGGAAACGTTCCCAGAAGGGTTAGGTGGCCTGTCCAAGGTTACACAGTGTTGGAGTAGCACACCAGGATTTGACTTAAGACTTCCAGTGCCTCAGTATTTGTTGTCTTTGGTATCTCCTTCCTGCTGAGGAGATGACGCACAAAAGAGCAGGAATGAGTGGAGCTGGGAGAGGGGGAGCTTTAAATGCTTGCTGCTCGATATTTTTACATGACGTTATGGTTATGAACAAGAGAGTCATGCACAGCATCTTAAAGGAGTGTCGGTTATTCAACAAAAACCATACAAGCAGAAAACACCAGCTTCCTGGTTGGATTCTCCCTTGACTTTGCAATGGGATCTTTCCCATATGCTTCACGGGATTGTGGAGGAATTTTGGGTTTATGTCCAACGCTGGCCTTTTGTGCTAATGCTGGGCATGGGCTGTCTGGGTTGTGCCCTCACCCATATATCAGTTGAGTGTCATGGGCCATTCAGAAGTGAAAAGAAATTGGGATTTCCTGGGTACAATTTGAAGCCCTCCCGTTAGGCCACAGCATGCTGGGACATTTAGGTACCAGGCAAAGATGCTGCTGCCCTCATGTCCCCGTGTCAGATGCACTTGGGGGGAGGAAAAGAAACATTTCCTTTTCTTTTTGATACACCTAACTTCCCAGCTTGGCCTTGAAGCAGAGTTGTCAGTGGCCTTCTGTTACTGACAGTTCTCTATCTGATAAGTCCACGGTGTACTCTTATCATCTCGGAGTGACACTGAGTGGAAATTTACAAACAGTTTTGATTCTCAGAGGCACTTGGGCCATTTCTGCTTGATCTTTTAAAGGTGTTCAGTAGAAAGATGCCATTTTAATTCCTTTAAAACACACAGCTCTTTGGCTTACTTAAATACTATGAAAGATTACAAGTGTTGATAAAGTACCAATTTTTTTTTCTTATATCTTGTTTGTTTGATCTTTGATAACCTTAACACTTAGAAAAGTCAGCTTTTCTAGAAGTACTTGCTGCTGTGCTCCCAAGTGCCAAACTTTCTCAGATAATTTATAAAGGCCATTTTGTGATTTTTTTTTTTAAGTAGAGAAACATCTCAGATAGATAATGGCTGTTGTGTTTTATTGTTACAGTTTTGCAAACAGATTTAAGAGCAGTTGAGTGAAATCCATTATTTTAGGAGTAGATAAACACTGGGTCATTAAAAATTAATTTAACAAGTACAGGCATACATTGGAGATATTGCCAGTTTGGTTTCAAGCCACCGAAATAAGGCAAATATCACAATAAAGTGAGTCACATAAATCTTTTGGTTTCTCAGTCCATATAAAAGTTATATTTATGCTGTAGTATTCAGTTGTGCACTAGCATTGTCTAAAAAGAAGTACATACCTTAATTAAAAAGTACCTTACTGTTAAAAATTGCCAACTGTCATTTGAGCCTTCAGTGAATCATAATTGTTTTGCTGGTGGAGGGTCTTTCCTTGATGTTGATGGCTGCTGACTGATCAGGCTGGTGGGTGCTGAACGTTGGGTGGCTTAAAAAAAGACAATGAAGTTTGCTGCATCAAGTGACTCTGCTTGCATGAAAGATTTCTCTGTAGCATGCGATGCTGTTTGATAGCATTTTACCCACAGGAGAACTTCTTTCAAAACTGGACTCAATCCTCTCAAACACTGCTTCTGCTTTATCAATTAAGTTTGTGGAATATTCTAAATCCTTTGTTGTCATTTCAACAATGTTCACAGTCTCTTCACCAGGAGTGGATGCCACCTCAGGAAACCACTCTTTGCTCATCCATAAGAAGTAACTCCTCATCCTTTCAAGTTTTTTCATGAGATTGAAGTAATTCAGTGATATCTGCAGGCTCCACTTCTAATTTTAGTTCTATTGCTGTGTCTACCACATCTGCCTTGAAATCTTGAACCTCTCAAATTCATCCATGAGGGTTGGAACCAACTTCTAACAAACTCCTGTTAATGTTGATATTTTGAACTTTTATGAATCTCAAATCTTCTTAGTGGCATCTAGAATGGTGAATCTTTTCTGAGAGATTTTCAATTTACTTTACCCAGATCTGTGATGGGAATCACTGTCTATGGAAGCTCTAGCTTTATGAAATGTATTTCTTAAATAATAAGACTTGAAAGTCAAAATTACCCCTCGATCCATGGACTGCAGAATGGATGTTGTGTTAGCTGGCAGGAAAGCAATATTAATCTTGTGCATTTCCATCAGAGCTCTTGGGTAACCAGATGAATTATCACTGAGTAGTAATATTTGAAAGGAATCTCTTTTTTTCTGAGCAGTTGGTCTCAACAGTAGGCTTAAAATATTCAGTAAACCATGCTGTAAACAGATATGCTGTCTTTCAGGCTTTGTTGTTCATTTATAAAGCACAGGCAGAGTAGATTTCTCATAATCTCTTAAGAGAGACCTAGGATTTTCAGAATGGTAAAGAGCATTGGTTTCGACTTAAAGTCACCAGCTGCATTAGCCCTAACAGGACAGGCAGCCTGTCCTTTGAAGCTTTGAAACCAGGCATCTGATTTCTCTTCTCTAGCTATGAAAGTCCTAGATGACATTTTCCAGTATAGGCTGTTTTGTCTACATTCAAAATATCTTGTTTAGTGTAGCCACATTCATTGATTATCTTAGTTAGATCTGGATAACTTGCTGTAGATTCTGCATCTACTTGCTGCAGCTTCTGCATCTACTTGCTGCTTCACCTTGCACTTTATGTTATGGAGACGGCTTCTTTCCTTAAACCTCATGAACCAACCTCGGCTAGCTTCCAACTTTTCTTCACCTTTGTCACCTCTCTCAGCCTTCATCGAATTCCAAAAATTAGGTCCTTGGTGTTTCGCTTTCTTATTATTGGTGTGTTCACTGGAGAAGCATTCTTAATTTCCTTTAAGAACTTTTCTTTTGCATTCACAACTTGGTGCAAGAGGCCTATCTTTTGGCCTACCTTGGCTTTTGACATGCCTTCCTCACTAAGCTTCTAGTTTTTGACTTACAGTGAGAGCTGTGTGACTCTTCCTTTCACTTGAACACTTAGGGGCCGTTGTTTGGTTATTAATTGGCCTAATCTCAATATTGTTTTGTCTCAGGGAATAGGGAGGCCATGAGAGGGGAACAGCTGGTCAGTGGAGTAGCCAGAACACAAACAACATTTATCAATTAAGTTTGCTGTCTTATACGGCATGGTTCATAGCGTCCCAAAACAATTACCATAGTAACATCAAAGATCACTGATCATGGATCACCAAAACGGATATAATAATAACATAAAAGTTTGAAATAGTTGCAAGAATTACCAAAATTTGACAGACACGAAGTAAGCACCTGGTGTGGGAAAAAATGATACCAATAGATT